TCTAAATGGTCATGTCTTCATTCTGAGGCTGTGCCCTCAGATCCTAGTCTCCGACCAAATTCTATCCAGGTCTCTCAGTATTCCCTAAGTTCCAATGAGACGCCTTCCCATCCTTCTAGCTTCCATTGAGTACAGACCCAGAGTCCTCAACTGCTCCTCATTTGACAAGCCCTTCAACCCCTGGATCATTCTTGTAAACCTCCTTGGGACACCCGGAAAGGCCAGCACATCCTTCCCTAGATTATGGGACCTGAAATTGCTCACAATATTCCAAATATGGTCTGACCAGAGCCTTATACAACCTCAGTCGTACATCTCTGCTCTTATATTCTAGAAATGAACACTAACATTGCATTTGCCTTCATATCTGCCAACTAAACCTACATGCTAACCTTAAGAGAATCCTGAACTAGGCCTCCCAAGTTTCTTTGTGTTTCAGATTTCTGAAGGTTTCGATTAAGAAAATAAATCTATGCTTCTATTCTTCCGACCAAAGTGCATAACCTCTTTCTTTCCCTTTGTATCTCATCTGCCACTTCTCTGCCCACTCTCCTAGCCTGTCCAAGTCCTTCTGCAACATTACCTGCCCCTCTACCTATCATTGTTGCTAAGTTTGCAGATGATACAATGTCTCTTCATCCAAATCGTTAATGTATAGTGTGAATAGCTGTGGTCCCAACACTGACCCCTGCAGAACTCCACTAGTCACCAGCTGCCATCCTGAAAAAGATCCCTTTTATCTCCACTCTCTGCTTTCTGCCTGTCGGCCAATCCTCTATCCATAGCAGTACCTTGCCCCCACACCATGGGCTCTTATCTTATTTAGCAACCTCCTGTCACCTTATCAAAGGCCTGCTGGAAATCCAAATAGATCACATTCGCTGGCTCTCCTTTCTCTAATTTGCACATTATCTCCTTAAAGGAAATTCTAACAGATTTGTCAGACCATCCCTTGATGAAGCCATGCCAACTCAGCCTTAGTTTAGCATGCACTTCCAAGTATTCCACAATCTCATCCTTAATAATGAACTCTAAAATCTTAACAATGACCAAAAAGCAGCTTCAGGAGACAGAAGGGAAACAAAAGGAAAGAAAAATAACTTTTCTGCAACAATAAGTGGTAGAGGCGGGTACAGTTACAACAGTTAAAAGACATTTAGACAGGTAAATGAATAGGAAAGGTTTAGAAGGATTTGGGCCAAATGCAGGCAAATGGGACTCGTTTAGTTTGGGAAACTTGGTCGGCATGGATGAGTTGGACCGAAGGGTCTGTTTCCATGCTGTATGACTCTACAATTCAAAGCATGAGATTCAGTTTCTCTTGGTATGAAGACTGGGCTCCATCATTGAGATCTGGCGCCACTGTGTGGTCAAAAATCCAAATTTGCATCTGCACATTTCACAGTCTCCTTGCATTACAAAACTTGACAATGCTCATTTGAATATATGTAGAACGGTGCATAACTCACAGACATGGTGTAATACACATTGCATTCAGATAGAGTAATAAAGCACAAAATGAAGACACTTAGTGGAACAATCCAAGTGACTCCCCTCCCCTACTTGGTACTCCTGTACTTTGTTTTCCTTCCAGTATTTACGCAGCTCACGCTTGAAAGGAACTATTACATATCCTTCCGAATAATATAGAAGCAAAATTAAAGGGCAAAAGCCTTACAATGTCAGTTGTTTTTTTATTTTTAAACACAAAATATTGCAGGACATAATTAACTTTTTGACATCCCCACTAAGCACATCTTTTGTTTCTTTACCTGTCCCATAACATCCCCTTTTTGCATTACACCATCATCCCTTCTGTCCTTCCATTACTCCTTCCATTTATACCACACCCTTTCTATTTCCTTCTTTCCCTATCCTTCCACCTATCTCCCCTCTGCTCCCATTCCCTCCCTTTGCTGAATTGGTTCTCAACTTGCTTGTAAACAGCTAAAACTCCAGGACTTTGCCTACTTCTGTTGAGAGGTCATCAAACCAAAATATACCTTTCTCCACAGAAACTGCCTGCCCTGCTCAGTGTTTCAAGCTGTCTCATTGTGCTCACAGCAAGCATCCAAGTAAAAACAGAAGACAGTGGAAACACTCAGCAGTTGAGGTGTTATCCATGCAGACAGAAACAGAGTTAACATTTCAAGTCGATGGCCAATTGTTAGACCGACCCCTGGAGTCTAAATATGCTGGCATCCATTCTATGATCGTTGGAGACGAACATTCATGCAAGAAACCCATTTGCAACTGAGGAGAGTCACACACCAAGTGGTAAGAGAGATTTAAAATTAGTCCCTAGGTCCATAAAACAACTATAAGTCTTCCAGCTAGGGACCTTTGTAACTAAGATGGCGCTGTAAGTGGCGACTTGTACACTTTTCACTATACTCATTTGTGCACATGACAATCGAGCTAAGTCTAATTCAGAAAACATCAATTTGCCCTTTCTCCCGATGTTAACAGATCCTATATAAAAAAAAAATTCCAGGTTTTGGGTCCATATTTCTGCAAAGACTATTCATTTCTTCCCATACCCTATCTACATACCACAAGGTCAAAAATCACACAACACCAGGTTATAGTCCAACAGGTTTATTTGAAGACACAAATTTTCGGAGTCTCACTCCATCTTCAGGTGTCAGCTATAACCTTGCGTTGTGTTTTTGACTTTGTCCACCCCAGTCCAACACCGGCACCTCCACATCTTACATACCACAGTTAGGTGAAATCCATCCTCTAGTTTGTGTTATATTGTTTACAGATAAACAGACTAACAAAGACTTCTTTGAAAGCACCTTCCAAGCTCTTAACTAAAGCTATCTGATTCACAAACATCCTTTAGGGAAAGAAATCTGCTCATCTTACTTGGTCTAGCCTAACCCATAGCAATGTGGCTGACTCTTAACTGTCCTTTGACATGACCTGGCAAGCCACTCAGCTCAAGGTTATTAGGGATGGGCAGCAAATGGTCTTTCAAGGGACACCAACATCCCATAAAATAACAGAAAATCCTTCACTGCTGAGGTAATAAAGCTACTCCTGAAATCACTTCATGACCCAAACCCTCCCTACCTCTAATTTCCTTGAGCCCTACAAAACTCTATACTTGCAGCTACCTAGGCCCTTAGTTCAAATTCCCTTCCTGAACCTCTCTGCCTCCCTCCCTTTAACTAGCTCTTTAAAACTTATCTCTTTGACAGAGCTTTGGTCATCTGTCCTACTATCTCTTGGTGTGGCTGCACGTAAAATATTACCTGATAATGTTTCTCTGCAGCAGGTTGGGGTGATTTACTATGTTCAAGGTGCTGCATAAATGCAAGCTGTTATTTTCTCAGCTCTCACCATGATCAATGAGTGTTAAAACACTAGTGATTAAGCTCCAGAGTGCTTAGTTTCCAACATAAAGTACACTGTACATATTTATCAGAATGAAATGTAGCCTCTCAGATCAGAGCTGAATGTCAGGCAGAAGGCTTATTAGTATTTATATATGATTTTTAGGAGACTAAGGAATACTTCATTCCAGATGCCTCAATGTCAATATAAAATGTGATTATTCCACAGCATTTTATTACACTTTGATAAGGAAAGTAAACAGATTGGTGACATTAAACCACATAGCACGATTTCCTGCATTACCTCATCCCCTTTCAGGATCTCATAGAAACACAAGAAAAAGAATCCCTCAAGCTTGCTCCAGCATGCAACACAATTGTAACTGATTGACAACTACACTTACCTAGCTGCTCTCCACATCATTTGATTCCCAAACGACCAAATATCTGTGTCCAAGAGGACACCCCCAGAGGAAACCCATGCAGCACAAGGAGAATGTGCAAATAGCTCACAGGCAGTCGCCCGAGGTCAGAATCGAACCCGGGTCCCTGGTGCTGTGCAGCAGTGCTAACCACTGAGTTGCCCCCACTCACTTTTTGACTCTGCGAGACCTAGCTGTGACAAAAGTGGCTATACTTGGTTAGACAGCAACAGTAACTACATATTAGAAAGTCACTCCCTGACTGACACTTTGGAATATCCTGACAAAGTGAAGGCCCAAAAAGGTAATGTTATTGAACTAGCAATCCAAAGGCCTGGATTAATAGTTTGGATGTGTTCAATATTCTCAATGACAGCATGCAAATTGAATTCAGTTAATTAAACACACCTAGAATTTTTTTTTAAAAGAATCACATGCGTGAAGACGATTATAGGGTTAGTGGACCTTTGTAAAAACCAAATGATTCATTGACATCCATTACGGAAGGAAGCCTAAATTGGGGCCAATATGCAACTACATCAATGTGGCTGGTTCTGAACTGCCTTCTGAAATGGCCTTATAAGCCACTATGGCAGTTCGCTATCACTTTCTCAAAACCAATCAAGGATAGGCAATAAACGCTGCCCTCTCCAGTAATGGACATATCCCATAAATGAATACCAATGAAAGAAATAAGCTCTTTATTGAGATGAAAAACACTTGTGCTCTCTCCAGTTGAGGTCTTCAAAAGTACATTTAATCAACTTGTATAATTCCTATAAAATCTCATTTGCAGAGTAAATTGGCAGGGAAGGACATTGAAATAAACAGCTCCAAGGTGTAACACTTAGCTTGATTCAAGAGGAAAGGGGTTGAGGGACCCAGTGAGAAAGCAATTAAAATGGGGAAGCAGAGTTCAGCAAAAGCAGTCAGGTTGGTGGGGCTTATTTCACTTTAATTGTGCCTTAACCTCTGGGGTGTGTAGGCTGGATTTGGTGCTCAGCGATAGGGCTTCAACTCTTAAATCTCTGATTCAGGGTCATGGGTGCGACTGGCTACAGCTAATACGGTTTCATGATAATGACAGGATACTTTCTTTTAAAAGAAAACTTTTTTTAGACAATTACACAAGTACTCCGGTTGCACAGTGTTTTCACACATGTTTTTAGCTAATAGTTTGGCGCTCAGAGCAGGCAATGATCAATAATAAGCCTCAATGTGAAGCATACAGTCTTACTTTTCATTGTTCCATCCTCTTCGTCCTCTCCGCTGTTGATCACCATGGTCCCCATCTGAGAGTCCAGTGTTGAGCTATCATGCTCGATCATTGTCCGTGCACCTTCACTCATCGTGCTGGCCGCTCTCATGGTCCCAGTATCATCTGCACTTGCTCGGACCATGGTGCCCGAGTCAATATCATCCTCTTCCTGTGTCAAATATGTAAAAGCAGCTTGATATTGAAATCATAATTAATTATATAATAAAGCAGACCAAACCTCAAAATATATTCAGAAGAAAGCCTAGACCCTAACTTTTTCTTATTTTAAAGCTAAGTCTAAGGCTTTGCATTTTAGGTGCAATTCGATTGGTCAAGCTACTTGATGTTAAGCAAAACACACTTAATTCATACATTATAGTTAAAACACAATAAAAGAAAGAAGAAACTGAATAACATAACTCTACTGGAAAATGCAACACAATAATACATTATTTAACTATTGAACAGTAACTGGTCTAATATAGTAACATCCCATAAACAGGCAAATTCAGTAAAATAAGTTGTCTCACAGGCAATTCACCAGTCCAGGAGGAAAACAACGTAAGAGGAAACTCTGAGATAAAGAGTAGCAGGAAGAGATGTACTGCAGCTTCCAAACCAGCTTCAAAACCCCAGCAACAACTGCTAGTGAAAAACAAAAAATCCTGGTCCTGAGAGAGCTTACCCCACCCATTCAGGCTGCTTCTATCGTTCCAACTTTTTTAAAAAAACCCAAAGCCTCACAAACTGTTTACAGCGGTGGATCCGAGTAGGCTGCTCTAAACCTGTCTCTCAACCTTTCTTCAGAAAATAAAACAGGGCAAAATGCATCTCTTAAAATCATTGTTCGTCACAATTGTATTTTTTTAACCATATTTAAATTACTTATTTGTTGGCAGGTGGTGGGCATTCATCAGGGTTTCACATACAATTGCTCAAATTGGGCTCTTGGGGTGCAGTTGTAATGTCCCTAACTCTGAGCCAGCAGGCCCAGGTTTAAGTGCCATCTGCTCCAGAGGTGTGAATATATCTCTCAACAGGTTGATTAGAAAATATCCATATGAACAGCCACTTACTGAAACTTGTGGTGTGATTAAGTTAGGAGGCATATGTTTGTGATGTTTAATTCTGCATATACATGTGCGACTCAGTAGACATTGACCTTTCATTAACTAGCTATCTGGAGAATAGCCAGAAACATCCTGACCTTGAACTTAAGAGAACACAACCAGGAAAAACAACCAGACAACATTATATATGTATACCATCCTTATGTTGAAGCCTTCTCAGACAGAATAAAAAATTCCTAACTCAATTCAATTTTGTTTGCTTCCAAAATAATAGTCTAAATGTGACTGGCCACAGTAGTCTGCAAAGATTAGAAAAATTCAATGTATTCCCTTAATAGTAGCACAAGTCAAATGCAGATTTAATAAACTTTCAAAATTTTGAGGGGAGAAAATGGGGGAAAATTGTGTCAACGGGCAGTGGATTGGTGACCTGTGGGGACAGAGTTAAGGCAATTGGGAAAGAAAAAGAGGGAAACCAAGAGGATTTTTATTTTATTTTTGAAAACATGACCTATTTTGATCTGGAATATGCTACCTGAAAGAGTGGAAAGAAACAGATTCATTAGGAACTTACAGAAGGCAATTGGCCAAGTACTCAAAATGGAGAGAGTGTAGAGGATTGAATTTAATTTGATAGCACTTTCAAAGAGTTAGCACAGGCACGATGGGCCAATCAGCCCCCTTTTGTGCTGTATCATTGTACAGGTCTTGAAAATGAACCTCATTTTGTTGTAGAAATGAATAACACTACCATGTTAGGAATTATAATTAAAGTTACAGGGAAAGTAAATGAACATCTAATGATCAAAAGGAAAGATCTTCGTTAACTCCCCTTAAAAATAATACTGTCTAGACAAACCATCCAAGACTGCTTTTTTCATAATCATACGTTCAACATCATGTCCACAAATAAAAAAAGTGGAAATGAACATTAAACTTTAATTCCTCACCACAACTTGATGTTCAAAAGAGACATTAGCGAAGAAACAATAGTTTGAGTTAATAGACATAAGCCTCATGCATTATCATTCACAATGAAATGCAAAGGCAAAACAATTTATGAAATTAGTTTGAGCAGCTTCAACTTAACAACAAAGTTTGAACTCATTTGACCACAGGTGAGCAGTATTGAAAATGAATAAATATTACACTGGTGGGGAGCCAGCATTAATGGGGACTATCTTTCTCTGGCTAAGCATCCTATACCTGTTGAAAGAGTGCTAGATGCTGGCACGGTGTGTAAAAAATGGAAAAAATGGAAAACACTCATTCTCCAGCACTGCTATTTAACCTTGGTAAGTCCAGGTTCACTCACGCACACCACAGACAAATATGCATGCACACATTAGCACAAAATCAAATCCAAAGCACAGCAAACAACAGCACTGTTAATTTGCAGCTAAACTGCTGCATTTGTCTAACAACTGCTGCAATGCAAAATATTTTGTTATGCAAAGTGCTTCAAGATGATTTGACAACCAAACTGTGCATTATCTCTCACATTTCTTGCACAATATTCCTTTCCTTTGAAAACCAGCATGCAACTTTCATTTTTAAAACCACCATAAAACCTCATGCAAATCTTCACACGAAATAACCAACAGACTCTCCTCACCTCCATCTTAGGCCTATTTCTATTCAGTAACACAAATTTTCTATACCTTGGTCTCTAGACAAGAAAAGAATTACAAACTCAGTTGGCAAAAGCAACCTGACTAACAGCTAACACAAATGTATACACAAGAGAAAAGTCTGGGTGACCTTAAAGCTCTAGCTAGACCACATCTGGAGACTCATCTTCAGTTCTGGGAGTCTTACCATAGGATTAACCCTATGGGCCTTGGAGGGATGAAGTGCAGCTCTGTCAGGAGCATTCCTTTGAGTACCAGAATATCATCGAGCCCTTGAATTGAGATGTTTATGATGATGAAAGGATTTAATCAAGTAGGTAGAGAGAAACAGTTTCCTCTGGTGAGTGGGGGGGCGGGGGTTGGGGAAGGGAGGAAAAGCATTACAACTGGAGCTGACAGTGAAAAGATTTGGAACTCTCTCCAATACGCCTATGAGTTTGGGGATGGATTAGAGGCTGGGGAAAGTCAACTGAAAATTTCAGCATTGTGATCAATAGGTTTTTATGAGGCATGGGATAATTATGGATATGGAACCAAGCCAGGTAGAAACAGCTAAAATATAGATCAGCCACGACCAAAATGAATGGCAGAAGAGGATCAAGAGGCTAAGTGGCCTCTTCCTGTCTGAGACTGCTTCCAGCGTTATATTCTTCATCCTGCTTTCAATGGAATTGCGGCAAAATAAGATATCCTTTGGCTTCTGGATACCAATATTGTCCATTTCTACTACCCTCTTAAGGCTACTTGAGCAATTCCAAGTATTAGACAGGCCCTTCATTTACATTTAATGGGAGTTTGCGTTCAAGACCAGAACTTGAATCAGGTTCTGAGGCTGCCTGGCACCATGTATAGCCAAGAGATAATTCAAGCATAGTCAAGAGTAGATATTCCAGTACTGGGAGACTGGATCTGGTCAGACTGAAACTTGGGCATCCAGCAGATATTTGGTGACGCTCACTGATCAACACTGGCTCCCAGCTAAGCATCACCTTAAAAAGTCATCTTGCATTCAAATCCTTTCATGACTTCATCCGTCTCAACCTCTGTAACCTCTTGCAGCTCTATAACCCTCCAAAGATATCTGCACTCCTCAACTTTGGTCTCCTGAATATCTGCAACTTAAAATGCTCACCCACTTTTGGTCAGGTCTTCAGATGCCTAAGCCCAAAGTTACAAAACTCAATTCTTAAAACACTCTGCCTCCCTTTTCTTCTTTAAGATACTCCTTAATACCTTCATCTTTTGAAATCTCCTTACATGGCTCCATATTAACTTCAGCTAGGAAACACTCCTCCCAACTGCTCATAGATCTTTTCCTTTTGTAACCATTATATAAACTCAAAGTTGCTGTTCTGTCCAATACCTCTATCCAACTGGGGCATGTCCTATGACAGATAAAGTTCATCAGGGATTAATAATGGCCATATAGGTACAGGAGTAGATCATTCAACTCCTCAAGCATGATCTATCATTCAAATTAAATCATGGCTGATCACCTATCCATTTGGTTCCAAGAACTATAGTTCTTTGAAAGAAGCGACAACAATATCACATTGGTGAGCCTCATTGGTGCTACAAGAACAACCAAGTTTGCTTTAGGTTATAGCCTCATGATGTTTTGAGCTATAGCACTAATAAATGCCTGATTTGCTTTCAAAACAGTCATTAGCCCAACTCCCTTGAGTGGCTGGCATGTGGATCAACCTCACACCTTCTGACAAAGAGGCAAGAGTACTACTCACTGACGCAAGCTGACAATTTTAGTACAACTTGAGCAAAGACAAATCAATAGAAATCTAGCAACAGAGACCTACCGAGTTCTCCTCATCGTCCTGATCCAAGTCTCGTTGTTGCTCTTCCTGACGTTTGAGTTTAATTTCCATCATGTCATTGATCAGATCCCGCAGTATTGACACAGGTTTGGCACTTTTAATGAAGGGATGCTGAAAGGTTAAAAAATATGCATTTGAAAAATGTTGACAGAAGAAAAACTTGCCTATCCAATCAATTGAGAGAGTGATGGTTTGGCATCTCATATAAAATGCAGGACAGAAGTGAGAGTTCCAAAGCTGGAGTAAATATTCTTCAGTTAACATTCAACTACGAGTTTGGAAACGTCAACATGTTACACAAATCCATCCACATTAGAAGAGTAGCCTTTTAAAATATAATTTACAGAGCCATTTGACCCAAATGGTCTATGCTGTTGTTATGCTCTACTCAATACTCCTCCCACATGACTTCATCTTCTCCCTACCCCATGCATTCTTTTATTTCTTTCTCCCCCATGCAGTGATCCAGTTTCCCCTTAAATCCATCTATGTTGTTTTCCTCAAATACTCCAATTAGTAGCAAGTTCTACATTCTCATCTCCCTCTGCAAAAAGTAGTTTCTCCCGGATTCCTTATTGGCCACACCCAACTGGATGTGAAGACTTTGAGGAAAGCAAGCAAATAAGAATTTTTGGACACGATAACCAAGAAATAACGACTCTTTGGGCATGTTCTTAGGAGGGAGATGCGAGAATATCAGGTAGTGCCTGGTAAAATTGAGGGTAGCAGAGCAAGAGGAAGATAAAGGAAGAGATTTTCCAACAGTTACAGGAGCAGAACAGGTGTAATCTTTGACGGCACTAAAATATTGATGACTATCAAGGACCACGAAAATTAGACAGACATGATTGGCAATGTTATAAAACATGGCACCTGAAGAAGTGACTATGTTATATTTGTGACTATTATTTTTAGTCTCCCCAAGTGAAAGCTGCCTCTCACTTTCCTAACTTTATACACCACGAATATGTCACCACTCAGCCTTCCCTTTCCTCCAAAACCGGAAGTCCATATCCTTCCTGTTGTGGATACAGAATCCTCATGCACACTAATAATTTTTAATGGTTTTTAAGCACAAATGCGCACACTGTTCAGCGCACATTGTCATTAGTATGCATTGTTAATAATTTATAATTTTACATGCAACGGTTTATACATATTGGGCGGCAGTAGCTGAACATAACATATAGGAGCAGAATTGGGCCATTAGGCCCATCGAGACAGCTCCATCATTCGATCACGGCAGACATGTTTCTCAATCCCATTCTCCTGTCTGCTCCTCATAAGCTTTGATTCCTTACTAATCAGAAACCTCTGTCACAGAATACACTCAGTGACTTGGCCTCCACAGCCTTATGAGGCAACAAGTTCCACAGATTCACCATCCTGTGGCTGAAGAAATTCCTCATCCGAGTCCTAAAGGGTCATCCTTTCACTCTAAGGCTATGCCCTCAGATCCTATTCTCTCCTACAAGTGGAAACATCTTCTCCACATCCATGCTATCTAGGCATCTCAGTATTCCGTAAATTTTAATCAGATCTCCCTCCCATCCTGCTAAACTCTAAGTACAGCCCAGAGTCCTCACATAACAAACCCTTCATTCCCAGATGTGCGAAGAGTTACACAAATAAACAATGTAAGTTGATCACAATATTTACTAGAAGCTTCATATGCAGGACTCATACACTGCAGCAAAAAAGAACATGTCCAGGTATTTCACCTTTTTAAAATTAAACAAAAGCATGAGAAACATTACCTCTATGGCAATGCCTCAACCAATCAGAAGCCACTTGCTCACCAATTAACACCCTTTTCTCATGAACTATAAATTGTTGCTCCCTTTGAACTTTGGCATTCTTTCTCTTTTAATGAGTGCAAGACGCAAAGCTTTGACAACATGTCTCCTTTTTCAGCAATACATTTACATTTGAAGAAAACAAGAAAACAAAGACACTAATTTCTACAGAATTTTTCACAATTTCGAGACATCGCAATGTGGTTCCAAAAGTGTACAGCATGCTGATTTCCTCAATTCTAACAAAAGAATGAGTTCAGAAATCAGCTACTACATCTGCAGCCTTCCCCCACAAATAATAACTGTCAAAAAACACCCATGCACTTAGCGTTGAGTCTGCATCTCATCCCTGGTCCTCCTGTCAGTGTAAGTGCAGCAAACAAATGAATTTTTCCAAGAAGCAGAGTTCACTTGAAAATATCCCACTGACTCTGATAATTAGAATCTCGCTGCTTCAGTGCCCTGGCCCTTGAAAGACTAGCTGAACTCCTGTCAAGGGTAGGAGAAAGACTAGCTATTCTCAACGTCTTTCACAACATCAGTACATCCCAAAGCACTTTACAGTTAATGAAGGTCAGTAGTGAAACATAGGAAATGCAGCAGCTGTTTTGCACATGGCAAAGTCTCACAAACTGCCAAACAATAACGACCAAATAATATGCTTTAATGATGTTTGAAGATTTATGTTCAGTTTGTGTTTCCAAATGCATTTTAAGTAAATTGGATTTTTTTTTTTTTAAATATCTGGGTCTTCCCATTGCAACCTCATCTGAGCTGAAGTGCCAGTTCATTACACCAGGAAATGTGCTGTAAACGATATAAAACAACCGCACATGAAATACTGGGAAAATGCACCTACCCCATACGGATACCTGAGTCTTCAACTCAGGTAAATATTCCTGAATGTGCACAAAGGGTCAGATCAGATTATCAACGGATGATGTATTTTTATTGCAATGTGGATCAATACTAAACGGCCAGTTCTGCAAGTTGCTTCATAAAAATGTGACATTGTACACCCCATCCATCACTAACCCTTTCAGGCTTGCTGATTCATTGATAGAGATCGAGATGATGAATGGCAGCATGGATTCATCTCAAGTGCTTGATTAGAATTCCAGCCAAGTTGGAGACACAGTGGGACCAAAACAAATCCATTCAAGTCTCTCAACGTTCAGCGACCAGGCAGCACAGACAGACAGTTTTATAACATGTGCTGTATTGTAAAAGCTCCAAAGAATCATGCAATTAACACTAGCAGTTGTTTATAGCTAAGGCAATGATTTACCCTTCATGAACTGGCACTTTCAACATCTCCAGCTCTGTATTTGAGCAGAAAATTACATCATCTGCAGTGAGTGACCAATCAACAGAATATTGTGGCAATCAAGTAACTGGTCCAACATACAGCAACGTCAATACAAACCATATCATTAAAGACTTAATTAAAACCATCATCATCCCTGTCCTTACCTGCCGCCCATCCAGCACCTGGTCCAATCTCCTTCACAAAGGCGGCTTTCTAATAAAAGCCTAGAATTCATATAAATCAAGTTCAGTCTGTTGAAAATATCCTCTATTCAACACCTCCCAGGTAGAACCAAATTAAACGGTCCTAATGCAGCTTGTTATCAGCATCAGATTCTCTCAATGTACCACGCACAAGTACTCACTCGAATGCCATATCCCACCCTGTAGGTGCTCCAGTTCAGCACTTCAATTAACATAGCTCTGACATGGCTCCCAGGGACACCCCCAAAAATCAATTTCAAGGTTCAAGTTCCTCTACAGCTTCATGTTAGAGTGTTCTGCAGTCTATTGCCCCAATCAGGCTTTGTATGGCTCCAGCAATGATCTACCACTCATTCCCTGGTCCTCCTACTTCACCATTCATAGATGGTCTCTCGACATTGTGATTCTGCCCTGTGGAAAATTTTTTACAGTCTAGCGTAGACTTCTATTATAACATGCTTTCAATCCAACCATTTATTCCACTTTGATGCTCACATCCCATGAATGAATATAAACATGAGCCTACAACTATCCAATTAAGCATTACCCACTGAACAATGGCTAATATGCTTGCTGCTATAATGTTATTTTCAATTACAACATACCTGCAGGAGCTGTGTCGCAGCAGCCCTTTGCTCTGGATTTTTAACTAAACACTGCTTTACAAAATCTGTAAATTCGTCTGTCCAGAGTTCTGGTTTCCGGAATGTTGGCGGTGGGTTTGTGGGAATCATGAAAATAGCCTGCAGAACGGGAAGAAAAATATATATTCAGGTCACTTGCAAACTGCTCATTAACTATGCAAAGCTGAGCTTTGCTGAAGAAAAATGCCACTGTAAAACATCTAAAGGTCAGCTCTCTAGTGCTGCATCCAGTAACTAGCCATTTTAATGTGGTATTTATAACTTATAAATTGTATTTTATAAAACATGAGAAGATAATTTCATGTCACTTACAGCCTCAAGTGCTACAGAACATTTGCAGTGAAGGTTTCTATAGATTCAAGTTTAAAAAGAAGTTTGTACTTGTTCCAACTGTAGAAAGTAGCATGAACCCCCAACCAGAAGGCTTGAGGCATATGTAGAGCAACTCGCGCAGATGTGAATCTAAGTGTTTATTTACGGGCCAACACTCAAGAAGCTCAACACCAACCAAGACAAAGCAGCCAACTTGACTGGAACCCCATCTACCACCTTAAACATTCAATCCCTCCACCAATAGTTTATAGTGTGTGCCACCTATAAGATTCATTACAACAACTCACCAAGGCTCCGTTGATACCACCTTTCAAACTGTGACCTCCACAGCAGCAGCAGCAGCAGCAGATACATGGGAGCACCACCACCTGCAAGCTCTCCAAGATGTACATGATCCTGACTTGGACCTATATTGCTGTTCCTTCAGTGCCACTGGGTCAAAACTCTGGAACTCCTTCCTTAAGGGCACTGTGGGTCAACCTACAGCATATGGATTGCTGCAGTTCAAGAAGGCAGCTCACGACCATTTTCTCCAGGGCAACCAGGGAAGGACAATGAATGGCAATGGCCACATCCCAAAAACAAACTTAAAAATTAAAATTAAAAATAAAGAATGTGCAGCAAACATACACAAGCCACTGTAGCAAAAACAAAAATCTTTCAAGGATCCAGCTTTTATCAGAAGAAATAGGAGTTGTAGGCCATTCAGCTCCTCAAGCTAGCCCAATCATTCAATAAGATCATGGTTCTTAGAATCATAGAATCTGTACAGTGTAGAAGTAGGTCATTTGGCCCATCAAGACCATACCAACCCTCCAAAGAACATCCCAACCAGGCCCACCCTGCTTCTGTAACTCTGTATTTTCCTATGGCTAATCTACCTAGCCTGCACAGCCCTGGACTTTTTGGAACGGCCAATCCGCCTAACCTGCACATTTCTGAACTGAGGGGAAACCAGAGCACCCAGAGGAAACCCATGCAAACACAGGGAGAACGTGCAAACTCCACACAGACAATTGCCTGAAGCTGGAATCAAACCCGGGTCCCTTGCGCTGAGGGAGCAGTGTTAACCACTGAGCCACCGTGCAGCCCCAGGTCTCAGCTCCTCATAACCTTAAACTCCCTGATATTTCAAAACATTGTTTAACTCCACTTTAAATATTTTCAATGGTCTAGTCTTCACAACTCTTTGGAGTAGAGAATTACAGGCATTCACTACCCTTGGATAAAATTTCTTTGCATCTAAGTTTAATGTCCCCTTATTCTGTAACTATGTCCCCTGGTTCAAGACTCCCCAACAGTGGAAACATCATCTCCCACCAAGCACCCTTGGAATCTTGCAGAGAGAGCATCAGGACTGAAAGTTGGGGACACTAGTACAAAATACTGAGCCATTCTTTACCCTTTCGAAAAAAATGCTGTTTCTTTGGCACCTTTCACAATGGATGTTCCAAAATTCTTCATAATCAATTGAATAATTCTGTACTAATGTAACGTAGGAAATATGCCAGCCAATTTGTCCAGGTTTCTGATGGATTAACAACCAGAAAACTGTTTTTCTATGTTGACTGCGGGATGAATATATAGTGCCAACACACCTAATCATCTCTAAATTGTGCCATAGCATTTTTAACATTCACCTTAGAAGGAAGATGGGTCCCTAGTCTTAAGTAAAAGGCGACAACTTGGACAGTGCAACAATCCCTCTGCACTGCGATACAGTAGCAGTCTAGATATTTGTGCGCGATGGTCTGGAATGCGACTGAATATGCAACTTGTCAGTTTAGAAAAATGAATGCTGCAGACAGAGCCACGGCTGACACCTCCTTTAACAGCGTGCTTCCTGCACCTTTTATTTCAGAATTTCAATTTTTATAGTTTCCCTTTCCATTCTAATGTTGATAAGAGCATTCGGTTAGACTTACTGGCCACATTACAAACAAGAGTCTCATTTTCACTCTCTCCAAATGTCAAAACATTATTTGTGGCAAGGAGATCACATTATAGCATTGCTTTCTACTGGCCCCCATAGTCAGCCCAATACTGCAAATAAATCTAATCAGCCTTGATCGAACTAAACAGTGGAATAGGTTGGAGGGGTTGCATGCTATTCTTAACTTTTAAAGTCACATTACTTTCTTCCCACTCGGACAGAGTTTTCAGACAACATGCCGTGGAGAGCGGTGTAAACTAAACTGTGCAGGATGGGATGTGAACACTTCAGTCATGACAGCAGCGCATACGGCTCTTAAATATCCCAGGGTTGTCGAATGCTTTGCCATTACTTGCCCTCATTGGATGAATGTCGGCGTATGGCGGTTTTCCTTCTGCCATTTCTATTGCCGAAATCCCTAAAGACCAGATGTCTGCAACACAGTTATAACCAATTTCTTGGATCACTTCAGGTGCCATCCAGAATGGGGTTCCAATCACCGTGTTCCTTTTGGCCATTGTATCCTGAATAAAGACAGACAATTTATTAACGTGAATCTTCCCAAATGTGATGTTAGTCTTACTTCTCCCAAAGAGTTTAAACCATAGAATTGTACAACACAAGACAGAGCCATTTGACCCATTAAATCTATTACACCCTCTATGAGCTATTCAGTTAGTCTCACTCCTCTGTTCTTTTCCATAAACATAAAAAACTCATTTCTAAATAAATATTAAACTTCCTATTAAAGGTACAATTAAATCTGCTTCCACTGTGCAGTATTTTTCAGATTATTGAAAATAAACTTTGTACAGGACTGCTATAGGCAAATACACATTGCTGTCATTTTTGAAATGACAGATCAACAAAAAAAAACAGACTTAGTTATTTAAAGGATTGAATTTCATCTAGATTTCCAATAAATGTGCTAAGTGCAGACTCAGAGTTACAGTCGAGGCCCACAATTACCTTCACACCCTGATGGGAGGGGTCTGAAATAAGCCATAATATCTGTGCCCAATCGTTACTCAGAGATCTTTGTTAGGAAATGCACTAGTGCAAGAGGGCAAGGACAGATTCATAGAATTGCAAAAAATTTACAGCACAGAAACAGACTGTTCAGTCCAGTCAGCCTACATCAGTGCTCATGCTTAACAAGAGTCTTGTCTCACATCTGTTCATCTAATTCTGTTGTTACCTTCTGTTCATTTCTTACCATGCTTTGCTCTCACTTTCAATTAAATGCATCTACACAAGTATTCCCAAAAATAGAGTTCCATGTCTTCTTTTGAATTCCCTGAATTCTTAGTGATTATTCTATGATTATATCCCGAACCTGATAGCTTGACCACTGAAAACACTTCCTCCACATCTATGAGAGCAAACTATTCCCAATCTTAAAGATTGCTTGATCCTCCCTTTTCTGTGTATGTAGTTTTGTTTTGGTCTGACAGGAAATACCTTGGTTTAGCATCACCTTGTGGCCAAGTGGAGAATATCAACAGACAACATAAACAGTCGGAGAGATATCAGATATTGTTCCAGAACACTGACAGATTGATATGATTCACAAACTGAGTTGTTTCTTGTGAATTAACTGAATTGTTCAATGTCATTAGCTCATCAGTAACAGAGTGCCTGTTTGGTAGTTACTGATTGGTAAGATCCAGGTTTGATCCCCTCAATTAGTTGAGTTAGCTGGCATTAGCCAGGTTTACCAAGGAGTAAACCTACCTTTGACTGGATAGGATGTTCATGAAAGAAAATCACTTGGATTTTTATTTGGAAGAGCAGGAGCATACAGACATGGTTGATTTATTCTAATAACATGGGGGAAATGGTCCGTCTGCATGCACTCTGTAGGCTTGCAAGAGTACACGGGAAGGAGATTACGTTTTCTGTGCATCCTAACACTATTTACCCTTTCAAAGGATAGTCACTTGAGTGAGATACTGCTCTGTATTATATTCTAAAACCCCATGTAATCAAAAAAGTCTAAAGCATATCTACTTCACTTCATAACATCCTCATCACTGTGTCATAGAACAATACAGTTGTCTGCAGCCGCTCTAAATTAACCACAATCGAATAATCTATACTATGCACAGACATTATATGACGAAGCCCCCAGTGTTGGAGAACTATAAATCCAAAGACACATGTCCTGCCCAACTATACTACACTTCCCACAATTTTCTTTTCAATTATTTGTGCATTATAGCACTTACTCCACACTATACTGAACAGCCCATACCAAGGTTATGCTCTCAAGTCCTGGTGTGGCACTCAAACCTCTACCTCCTGGGAAAAATGATAATGCTAATACCATGACAAGTACAGGAATAGCAGGAGTTCATCGGACCCTTCGAGCCAGCTTGACTATTCAATGACATCATGGCTAATGTGCACTTCAATTCCACTTAGCCACCTTTATTCCAGATTCCCCTGACATCTTCATTGAATAACATGTAATCTAATCATCTCAGTCTATTGATATAGCCTCAACCACATCTTGTGGAAAGGGTTCCAGATTTCCAGAACCTTTCTTAATTGTTTATATTTTACTTTAATATGATATCCACTTTTTCATGAAACCCCCAATGATTTTCTGCATCTGCTTTATCAAAGTCTTGTAATATTTTAAATATTTCAACTAGACCACCCTCCAATCTAAGTGCTCTCGTAACATAATCCCCTAAATTCTGCCTCCTACGAGTTGAATCTAACATGCAAAACATTTACACCTAAGTAATTAGAGATTAGTTTGTAGATGTATAAAAACCATCAGTTTACCTCGTGTTTTATTTTTCTTTTTCTGAAGTTTCTAACCCACATGCTTGAGCTGCTACGGCCAGTGCTCTGTAAGGAACTATATCCTCCCATCAGTCACCAACCCCAGGTTCATTGGAAGCTACAACTGAAGGTCAAAGAAAGAGGGCTATAATGGCCCCATCTCCAGGTCATATTATCCTCAAACATGCGAACACCGAATTTACCCAGTACCCTCCAATCAATCCATCTGGGGGAGGGCTGCACTTGCATAATTTTACGCATGAAAGTGCTCTTGATTCTAGTCACTACATCTTTAATAGTGTGTCCCTTTAGAGCTTAGCTAGTTTACAGTCCTGGTAAATTGGAAGAAATAAAACTTGTCATAGGGTTAAAAACTGTCACATGCTGTTTTGTTACCTGGTCTGTAACACACCAGTTCAGAGATCACTTACAGTAAGCTGACCAGCAACTCCAAAATCAGCCAGTTTGGCATGGCCTTCATTATTGAGTAAGATGTTTCCAGCTTTGATATCCCTGTGGATTTTTCTCATGAAGTGTAGATACTCCAGTCCTTTTAGTGTGGACTGTAAAATTGTGGCGATCTCGTCCTCTGTTAACTGAACAAAAAAGACAAGTTTTACAGCAAGCCTTGGAAATGTTTCGGCAGATCAACTGTAGGTGCTGTGGACACTTCAGTTGTTTTTAAGTTGTTAGCTGCGGCTCACTGGATAACTGCAACGTGTTGACTGCTGTATTCCCTACATTACAACAAATACACTTCAAAATTACTTCACAGCCTTTCAAATGCTTTGTCAAGTCCTATGGTCTTGAGGAGTTCTATAAACACAAATGTTTCCTTCTTTCAAAGTTCTTGATAACACATAGCTTCTTGATATTTCTCAAAGAAAAACCTACATAATAATCACATTTTATGCCACAGCAAGATACATATCTACTGGCTTTCTCTCCGAATCTATCTGTGCAGTAGGAGATGCTTCATCCTATTGAATCATCTTTATGGGTTCCCTATGACCTTACCTTCTTCCAATCTGTTCTATAAGTACAAATTATCTTTATCAAAGGGGAAAAAATACTTTCATATATATCATAGGATGTTTTACAGTCAACAATGCACTTTTGAATTATCGTCACCATCATAACATACGAAAACCCAATTTGCTCTGTTTTAACTGTTCTAATCTGTCTTTCTGTTTTCTTTGGAATTCTGTTATTACAATCTCTAGGCACCTCAATACAATGGCTGGAAAACAACATCTTTATCTCGTTGAAGCACTTGAATAGAGCAAGGAGATGAAAACACATTCAGGTGTAAACATATTATTATTATGTTTTGTATTTAACCAAAAGAAACTATCTTAAATATTTTCGGCCTTAATCTAGCTTTATCTTACAATATTACTTGCACCACTTTTTTGAAACTCCCACATCACCTACATTCAGAAAACTTCTTTCAAGAAATTGTTTTCTCTTCTGTGGCAAATGCTTCACTTCTCAAAAAAATTGACCCCACCCAAAAACTGAAGGCCATTCCAAGATATTTGCTCTCGCTAGTCTCATGCACTTAACAGGACCACCATCATCCCTGTTGCATCCTTGTCTTTTTCTCAACTTTTGAGTACCGTTGTCAATGATCCTGTCAGCTGTTTTCCTTCAAACAGATAAAGACAATTGGAATGAACTATGAGCGATCTGACTGAAGTCTTCAAGATATTAACAGGAGAAGACAGGGTAGATAAAGATAAACCATTTCCACTGGTTTGGTATTCTAGAACTAGGGGACATAGTCTGAGAATTAGGACCAGACCATTCAGGACAGAAGTTAGGAAGCAGTTCTAAACACAAAAGGTGGTGGATGTTTGGAACTCTCTTCCATAAATGGCAATGGATTCTGGATCAGTTAATTTTAAATCTGACATAGATAAACTTTTGTTAGACAAAGAAAAGGAAATAGGCCAAAGGCAGGTATATCAAGTTAGACAAGAGATCAGCCATAATCCATTAAAAAGTGGAATAGGCTTGAGGGCTGAATGGCCTACTCCTGTTCCAATATTCCTATGAGAAGGTTTTTCTTTCTCCTCTCTTCATTTTCATTTTAAACTGAAAACATATTATGATGTTTCCTACTGGAATTCAACATTTCTCAAAACCTAAAACTACAACTCCTTTTGCATTTCAGTTTTGCTCTCCTTCAACGTCCTGAGACTATCATAACATATCCCTTTGATTTATCTCACCCTTCCAATTCTGATGGTGGCTTTTGGTTGGGCCTTTACCTGTTTTCCCATTTAAAAACTAAGCCATTAACATGGATTAAAGATTAAGTGACATTTTCCAAAGTTTCCATCCTGTCTGTGAATTCAGGCCGAATTTCCATTGGGCTGACAATTTGTCCTTAAATACACACTGCTCCCGGGAAAAACAGCACTAACCTACATCAAATGTGGTTTCTCTCATCCACATGCCAAAACAGTCTGACGTTAAGGTACAAGTGGAACAATAGATCACCTGGTGACACAATCAAGGAGATAAAACTTCTCTGATGAAGCCATGCCTTTCATTACTCATGTCTATCAATCAGTAATCCTTCCACGGTCTTGTGCAAATAACATGCAGGGTTATAGGGATAGGGTAGTGCATAGGTCTGGGTGGGATATTCTTTGGAAGGTCAGTTTGGACTCAATGGGCTGAATGGCCTGCTTCCACGCTGCAGGGAGGGATTCTATGATTCTCTATGATTAAGTAGTCCTGTAATGTATTCATGTCGCTGGTATTCTGAATATCATTCACGTAATTGGAATTTCTCTGGTCATGCGTCAAGGCAGCTTGAAAACAAACACATTAATGACTTGTGTAGCTAAAACATCCACTTGGCCTGCTAGCTGTCACTATTTACACTGTAGTACTGCTACGAAAGTTGGGATTGTTTTTGACAACAGTGTTTTGGTGTGAAACTCTTCCTCTGAATTAGTTCAAGAACTAATTTACAACTGGAACAATAGATCATCCGGTGGCATAATCAAACAGATAAAACTTCTCTGATGAAGCCATGCCTTTCATTATTGGCTATTAGTCAGTAATCCTTGTTCACTAATCCCTCCATTGTGTAAATTGTGATTGCTTTGACGTTAGGACAAGTGCCAAACGTCTAATCACTGAATAACCTCACCCAGTCAAATGGGCTTAGTAGGGCTGAGATGTTGATACATTCACAACTATCTATGGTCTCAATGGGGCCGGGGTAAAGAAACCAACCATATCGGTTTGCTCCTCGGGCATGCAGGTCTGTTCTGGCCAAAGAAAAGCACAACACAAAAACAGTAAAAAAAACTGTAGCATATATTCCAGCAAGCAAATCCACTCACATGCAAATTCGGCAAGTACTCGAGCGAATCTGTTGTCCAAGTGTCTTATTTCTCAAACCTCTCATGTACTACCTACCATTCAACCTACATTTTGAAAATATAGCTCAAGTTGCCAACATCAATCCCAGTCGGCTTTCTCTGGTTTACACGGAATGACTGAATCTGAGCACAAAGAAGAGTTTCTGTGATTACCCACCTTCTTCAGCAATACATTGAAATAAGGGAGACAGTAGGCAATTTTCCAACTTACAAGCACCTCGAGTTGGGATAGAGATGCAACAAGTAAACAAACAAAAGGGGCAAAAAAAAGGCAAACAACTTTGAGATTGACAATTTCAGGACATAAACTCATTTTGTTTCCTTTGCTTTACATCTTCCAATTTTTCTCATCATTTTCCCCTGATTTTTATTTTCAGAAGCTCTGTCTTGATGTGCACAAGTTAGAAATAACCGCATTTTAGTTTCAAAATGCTGCAGCTTTATCAAGTGTACATTTCTCTCGGCTCTCCATATGGCTGGCAGTCTAACCACTGACCTGAATACAGCAATCACTGTCAGATTACCGCTCTGCTCCTACAGTGTGCTATGGCCGAGGTCCAGATTTCTGGCTAAGTCTTCAGATCTCAGAACAGTCTTCCATCAAACTGTTTCCTCGTACTGCTGGATCAAGTCAAGTCCCTTTTAACTGCACTAGCTGCTGTATTCTGGTAAGTGTGTGCTAACACGGGAAAATTTTGGGACTTTAAACAGTTTTTCAACACTTTAGTGAGGGAGCATTATGAGTGAATAGGCGAAAGCGCAAGTTGGCATGGCAGGATCGGTGGTCGGGTGGGGGGGACAGGAGGGATTCAGAGGGTCATGGGGAGATTCAGGGGATCATTGGAAGTGTGGGGATTCAGATGGCAGTGAACAGTCAAGCTGGGTTGGGGCAGTTCATGGCCATGGGGTCAGCTGTATATTTACATAGTTAACCTGGAGTTAAATCTGTTTCTTCTGCCTAACACTTCCTGGGTAACTATTCAGGAAAGCATGTCACAGCTCTCTTAAATTTTCAAATTGAGTTTCGAATCTTAGACATTTTTAGAAGCTTTTGGGATCAAGGGAATTGTCAGTGAGAAGTTTAAACGTTCTAGCAATTATAACAGAGTCACTGCTTCGGGGCTTCCACAGGGTCCTGAAAAGACTCAGGTCAAAAGTCCAGTCTCTTATTATGCAGTGACTAGAAGTTCTAAGCCACTGCTGCCTCACACATGACTCTCAAGCAAGGGTAAAAGTGGTAGCCCAGGATATATATTCACATAACAATTAGCTCCTAGTTCTTTACAAATCACTGTCACTGCAGGGGGATGAGATGGCCTAGTGGTATTATCACTGGACTGTTAATCCAGAGACCCAGAGAACGTTCCGGGCAGCCAGGTTCAAATCCTGCCTTGGCAGATGGTGGAATTTGAATTCAATAAAATATCTGGAATTAAGAATCTCATGATGACCATTAATCCATTGTTGATTGTTGGAAAAACCCAACTGGTTCACTAATGTCCTTTAGAGAAGAAAACTGCCATCCTTACCTGGTGTGGCCTAAATGTGACTCCAGACCCACAGCAATGTGGTTGACTTTGAACTGCATAAATGCTGCCTAGCCAGCGATGCCCACATTCCGTTAATGAATAAAGAAAAAAATTCATATAACAACATAACATTGGTCAGTAGCACATGGTGCTTCTCTTTTTGTTTCTTTCCCCATCATTCCCTTTGACCCAGCAAAATTAATTAGTCTCTCGTTTAAGCTCGCGTCTTCCAGCCTATTAGAGACTTTTTTTAATCCTTGTCCTAGCCATCTCTTGCCCAAAATCTATTATGTCTGGGTTTTCCCAATTCTGAAGACCCGGAATGTAAACTGTTTCGGTCTCCTCAGTGTCTGCCGCAGCTGCTGAATGTTTCCAACATTTTCCATTTCTATTTCAGCTTTGCAGCATCCACAGTATTTTGCTTTTCAACTAGTGTCTCTATGACCAGAGTTCGCACAGGGCGGGTTTCCCCACACGAATAATGTTTCCCATATGATCAGGTGTCCTTTCAAGCTTTACTTATTCAAATGCATAGCATCACCAAACTGTTGCTTGATTTATTTCAGCTTCTCTTTCTTTTTTCATGGTTGGCACCTCAGACTCCACAATAAAATAAAATTAACATGACATTAAGCACATAGCTTGCCATCTCCAATTAGACCAAGGGTTTTCTTTTTTGTGCTGTCACCCTCCTGTTCCTCTGAAGATCACAACTTATGCTAGGAATGGTTCCAGAAATAGTCATGTATCAGGTGTTAAGACAATATTGCGCTGAGAAACATGTTCAAACAGTTAAGTGTGACACTGCGTTCAACAGACATTGTATCTGGTATTGCAGTTTTTGGTGCTAGACTAACAATTCAGAGGTCACAAGCTGAAATGTCAACATGGTAAACTGAATTCTATCAAATGGATAATTTATGGGTTGGTACATGTGGTTCACTCATGCCCTGTGGCCAAGGGCTCATGCCAAACCGACCTGGTCTGGCTTGCAAAGAGCTTATGCTCCACACTACTTGGTTCACTAAATGCCTCCTGAAACCTTGCAAGACAAGTTGGAATGTAGGAACGATGCTTTGACTATATATTTTAAAACAAACATGCATTTAATGACAACACCCAGATTAACAAGATTTGTGACACCGCTGGCAGGAAGTATAAGAGGAATAACTGCTGAGTACTTTGCTTGGAATGTGTAATCTGACACGTCCACCACAACTGTGTGGGTCAATACAACAGGGAACAACTCTGAAGGTCTTCTGTTACAATACTGTAGGATGTTTACTGTAAACAGAGTGTTCATATTGTTATGCGAATTATAAAAATGGACCACAAATGTTCAACCTCCATCTCTTTTTCATACCCGAGACCTTTGAGGACTAAAATGGTTTCAAAGAAGGAAGGGCACTAATTTAAGATGGCAGCAATGATCACTTGACTAGGTCGAGGCAAGTTCATGAAACCATCAATATGCTACAGTCAGAGTCATACAGCACAGAAACAGTACCTTCGGTCCAACTCATTCGTGCCAACCAGATATTCTAAACTGATCTAGTCCCATTTGCCAGTATGTGGCTCATATCCTTCTAAACCCTTCCTATTCATATACCCATCCAAACGCCTTTTAAAATGTTGTAATTGTACCCTTCCTCTGGCAGCTCGTTCCATACAGCATCACCCACTGTGTGAAAAAGGTGCCCCTTAGGTCTCTTTTAAATCTTTTCCCTCTCTCCTTAAACCCATACACTTTAGTTCTGGACACCCTGGGAAAATGACCTTGGCTATTCACCCTATCCATGCCCCTCATGACTTTATAAACCTCTATAAGGTCACCCCTCAGTCTCCAACGCTCCAGGGAAAATAGCCCCAGCCTAATCAGCATCTCCCTATTTCGCTCTAATCCTATCAACATCCTTGCAAATCTTTTCTGAGCCCTTTCAAGTTTAACAACATCCTTCCAATTGCAGGGAGACCAGAAGTGAACGTAGTATTCTAAAGGTGGCCTCACCAATATCCTATACAGCTGCAACATGACATCCCAACTCCTCTACTCAATGCACTGACGAACGAAGGCAAGCGTGTCAAATGCCTTCTTTTCTGAAGAAGTGTCTAGACCCGAAACGTCAGCTTTCCTGCTCCTGATGCCGCTTGGCCTGCTGTGTTCATCCAGCTCTACGCCTTCTTCACCACCCTGTCTACCTGCGACTCCATTTTCAAGGAACTATGCACCTGCACACCTTTGTCTCTTTGGTCGGCAACACTCCCCAGGACCCTACCATTAATTGTATAAGTCCAGCCCTGATTTGCCTTTCCAAAATGCAACACCTCACGGTTACCTAAATTAAACTCCATCTTTCACTCCTTGGCTCATTGGTCCATCTGATCAAGGTCCTGCTGTACTGAGCTAATCTTCCTCACTGTCCACTATATCACCAAATCAGTCTGAGCCAAAGTTATCATTATAAAAAGGTACTGAAACTCAGATCTGTATTTTGTGTTTGATTCACACCTTTCTAGAAGTTCACAGAATGAAAGATGTCTGCGTATTTAGGGCGGGGGGGGATAAGGTGCTGTAGTAGTTTTGTCACTGGACAAGAAATCCACAGACCTATATTAGTGATCCACGGACATGGGTTCAAATCCCACTATGGTAGATGGAGAAAACAGAATTCAATTAATAAGAAGTTGGGAAAACCTGAAAACAGTAATGTTGACCATGAATCCATTGTTGATTGCCATTAAAAATCTTTCTCGCTTACTGATGTCCTATAGGGAAAATGACATCCTCAACTTGTGATGCCAGCAACATGGTGGACTGTTAAAAGCCTGATGAAATATCGCATGTCAGTTGTATATCACTGCTACAAAGTCTGATAAAAGAACTGAAATCTAATGGTATCAACCAACACACTGGTTTTCGATGTCACTGGGTCAAAATCCTGGAACTCCTTCCCTAAGTGCACTGTGAGCGAACCTACACCACAATGGACTCCAACTGGCGAAAACAGCATCTCACTACCACTTTCTCAAGGGCAATAAATGCTGGCCTACCATGAAGGAAGCAAAAAAAAATCTAAATTAATGAAACAATGAAGCCAGGCATGGAATAAACAAGCGTCATGTATTTCAGGAGACAGTTTGTGTATGAGCATGCATGCGGGTGAGAGAGAGAGAGAGAGAGGGAGACAGAGACAGAGAGAGTGGGGAGGAAGCAAGAGAGAGACAGTGAGCGAGAGCGAGAGAGAGAGAGAGAGAGAGAATGATGGATTTGTGACAGCAGAACTTGGAAGGCTTGCTCTCTTCCTGTTTCTTTCACCTGCTCAAAAAACAGCTGCTGATGAAAAGCATATCAGTATTACTCCCTTGCCAAGAGCTCAAAGATATCAACAGATTTCATGATGGCAGAAGATACACAAGTCAAACAACCACTGTCGCAGATTAAGACACCTCAAGGATATTTCAAAACTGTTTTTTTATACGAGATACTCTTCCCTTTTTTAAACTTTATATTTGTGTTTGTAAGTCTGCTTGCTGCCATGTTTTATTATTCTTCTCAGAGCAAATAATAAAATTCTCCTTTCTTTCGACAGAAGAAACCTGTAACTGACTCCTTAATTTTGGTCAAGAGACCATTCTTTCATTAAAATGCTACACAGCTACATGCCAAAAATAATTTAAAATCTTTGTTGTGATCATTAGAAGGTTGAAAAATGGGGAGCTTAATCACTCCTCAACTGCTCATAACACTGAGTAACAAATTAGCAAAGCCTTTGGGATGGAGTGTGAGAAAGCACCCATATGCAGAGCTAGCTATGTTCTGTTACACTGGATGTACAACTAACAGAGGAGTATGACTTGACAAAGTCAGGCTGTGGATTGACAGCATTAAATTGCTGCATGGCTAAATTCAGAATTCACAACATATTGCACATCAACACAACAAAGGATTGACACTGCACACATGCAAATATTATTGGCCAGGTGTCAATATTTACTCTGTTTACAACATGGTTTCAAAGTGAACAGCCAGCTAACTTCTTGGAGACCAATAAAGCTCCTCAGCACCACCCTGGAAATCTGTTCATTCAGAAGCCTGTTGCCTTGTTTACAGAGTAATTGGTCCAAATGCAAGCATGGTTATCAAAATAACCAGCTGCAAATGGCAAAACAAGCAATGTGACACAGTTACTGTAGGCAGACATCCCTAATCCAGAACGCATCTGCACAATATCACTGCATTCCATGCATAATAAGATTACTATTCATGCATGCAGAACGTTATTTTCTCCCAGCTCTTAATGAAATAAACAGCTGCAAATGAAAAACTACGAACAGTGTGGGTCATCAGTTTGTTTTTGATCGTGTCCTATTGTCAGAGGGAGGCTAATTTATTTCTGATCAAATGAACACAGAGCCTATTGAGACGGGAGTAACGGTTATCAATTTCTCCCCCACAAACCATGGATTTTGCATCAAGGGTAAAGTCAATTCATCTGGCCTGTATTTAATTATTTATCCTAAATGAAAGGCACATTGGAACACAATGCCTCTTTTGCCTGTGATTTCTCTTTCACACTCGCCTGCCTTAAATAACAGACAGCCAATGATATTTAATAGGAGGCCTGACAAGCATTTCAGGGAGAAGGGAACAGACGGTTACATTGGAAGGGTTAGATGAGGAAATATAGCAGAAAGCTCAATCCAACCATAAACTGTGACATTGACTAGTTCAACGTCATTTATCTTTGCAATAACATTGTGACAAACTTGGGATAGTACAGATCCTACTTATAAACGGCAGGCACATAATCCTTATTTCGCTGGGATAGAGGCAGATATGGGGAATTACCGTTTTATTCCTTATTCGAATGAGATCTGATACTGAACCAGCTCCACAGTATTCCATGACTATCCATAGGTCTGTGTTCTTAAAATAACTGCCATAATACTTGACCACATGAGGGCTGTGGAGAAAGAGAAAGATTGTTAAAGTCCTAGGATTCTATATAGAACAAAAGAATAGTTAGTACAGTGAAGAGTCAGTAGAGCTAATTACTCAATCTCTCATCACAACCATTACAATTGAGATGGTGGTGCAGTGGTAGTGTCACTAGCCTAGTAATTCAGAGGTCCAGGTTAATGCTCTATAGACATAGATTCAAAGTCCAATGCATTAGCTGGTGGAATTTAAATTCAAATTATATAATTTTGAAATGAAAGGTAGTTTCAGTGATGATGACCATGAAACCATCACTGTTTGCTGTACATAGCCCTCATGGTTCACTAATAATCTGTAGAAGAAATCCATAATCTTTCCATGGTCTAGCCCACACGTGACTCCAGATCCACAGCAAGACATCTGACTCTTAACTGTCCTTCAAAATAGCCTAGCAAGCCACTATTAAGGGCAATTAGGGACCGTCAACAAGTGCCACCTTGCCTCCGACACCAATATCTCATCAAAGAATAAAGAACTGCCTCGAAACAAACTGCTTCATGCAACCCATTAGCTTTGACTTGTAGTAACTCTTGTGTAGATAAATTTAGCTGTCATTAAGACCAGTAATGTCCCAGCAACAGCTGTGAGGTGAATGAGCAGTTAATCCAGTATTGGTGATATTGGTTGAATAATTTGTTAAATAACATCATGGGATATTTAAGAATCATACAAATCTGCACACATGGGCCATCTGAAAGATGGGTTCCAATAAAACTCATCCAGTATCTCTCGAACCTTTTCATATTGTGCTTCAAGGGTCTTCCCTGATAATTTACTCCAGAGGCTTACTCCAATCCATTTGGGGATAGACAACACACAATTCAAACAAAAAAGTTGCCATTTTTGTTTTACGTTTTGGAATAAAAAATTAACATTCTTCAAGGGTCCTACAGCCCTTTGTGTCTGTACCATTCAAAAACCTAACTATTCTAATCCCAAAAAGTTCCCAACATTGTCAGTTCTGGGTTAATTCACGAACTCACGATGCTAGAGCAATATGCTTCACAGCATGCGAGAGTCTGAAAAAGTGATGGAAATGATCAATTCTAAATCTAGTCTAGACCATGGCGTTGAGGCAAATGACTAGTCATGATCAAGTTAAATGGTAGAACAGACTTTAAGGGCCGAACAGCCTACTCATGCTTGTATCTTTTACATTCCTAAGTCACATTTTCTGAGTACAGAAGCAGTGAAGTCTTGCTTCAATTCTGTAAAAACTTGGCTAGACTGCACTTCAGAGTGCAGTTTTGGTCTCCTTATCTCAGAAAGCATATTACTACTATTGAGGGAGTGCAATGAAGTCTCAGCAGGCTTGTTCCCAGGATTGATGGGACTGCCCTACAAAGAGAGATTGGGCCTGTATTCCCTTGTGTTTCGAAACCTACAAAATACTAAAGGGTCAGACAGGGCACATGCAGGTAAGATGTATCCCTTGGTTGAGGAGTCCAGAACCAAGTGGGCATAATTTAAAAATAAGGGGAATACTACTTAATTAAGAAATAAAGAGAAATAGATATGGAGAAATATTTTTATTCGGAGGGTTGTAAGCCTTTGGAATTCTCTACCATGAAGAGCCGTGGGGGCTCAGTCCTTGAGTATGTTTAAGACAGAGATTGATAGATTTCTGAATAGCAGTGGTGTATATGGTCATGGGTATGGAGTGGATAAAAAGCATTGAAGTATTTAATAATCTATGGTCACATGCATGGCAGGGTAGGGTAGGTTCAATGGCCTACTCCCTGTTTCTGTGTTCCACAGAACTGTGAAAACACAAGGAAACAACTGACGTGACGCAGCTGATCAAGACGAGTTTGTTGCATTTCTTTTTGTTCCCTCAGAACAAAATCTCTGGTTGTGCAGCGTCACTGTAATTAAATTTTACATTTAAAAAACTATCAATCAGGGTCCGGAGCCACTGGCTTCTTTTTGTCTTACCTGTCACATTGCTGCATGATGGAAATCTCTTTGATAATCTCCTGCAAGTCCGATTCCACTGGGACCTGCTTGATAGCGACCACTTGGCCTGATTCTTTATGTATGGCTTTGAATACACTGCCATAGGACCTAAGGGAGGGAACGTAGAGCATTAACACTTATCCAGCATTACAGATTTAGGCTATCCCATCTGGGCTCTAGGCCTCTAATAAGAGGGAACAATAGCAACAATCTTTGAAACCAATCTTTCCCACGGTCCTTAATCATTACATTGAGCTACATTACATTTTCCCCCACCTCTCAGGCATAACAGGTGATCAGACAACCAGATAGATCTCTGACAGTGTATATGCAACCTACTTTCTATGAGGGTGGCACGGTGGCTCAGTGGTTAGCATTGCTGCCTCAGCACCAGGGGCCCGGGCTTGATTCCAGCCTCAGGTAACTGTCTGCGTGGAGTTTGCACATTCTCCTCGTGTCTGCATGGGTTTCCTCCTACAGTCCAAAGATGTGCAGGCTTTAGATTGATTGGCCATGCAAAATTAGCCATAGCATCCAATGATGTGCGGGCTAGCTGGATTAGCCATGGGAAATGCAGGGAAAGAGGGATAGGGTGAGGGGTTGGGTCTGGGTGGAATATTCTTTGGAGGGTTGGTATGGACTCGATGGGCCAAATGGCCTGCTTCTACACTGTAATGATTCTATGATTTCCTTCTCAGAACTTCGCCCAACTTTCATTTCAGAAGCTGACACTAGAGGAAACGCAGGGGAAAAACCACATATCTGACTACTCAGGGGAGATTTATGTTATTATACATTATACAGGATTGTTCATATTTCAATCAGCAATTATTTTTATTACTCCAGAAAGAAATAAATTGCAGTTAAAAAGAATCCTTCAGGGCCTCAGAACAAAGCATTTTACAACCATCACATTAAAAACAATCTCTGCAGTAAACTAGAAACGCCAAAAGACAACTTGCAAGAGTCTTTAACAAAGATAATTACCCAATCTCTCATCACAACCATTACAATTGAGATGGTGATGTAGTGGTAGTGTCACTAGCCTAGTAATTCAGAGGTCCAGGTTAATGGTCTATAGACATGGATTCAAAGCCCAATGCAGCAGCTGGTGGAATTTAAATTCAATTTATGTAATCTTGAAATGAAAGGTAGTTTCAGTGATGATGACCATGAAACCATCATTGATTGTTGTACAAAGCCCTCATGCTTCACTAAGAGTCCTTAGAAAAAGAAACCCGTAATCTTTCCATGGTCTAGCCCACGTGACTGCAGACCCAGAGCAAGATGTCTGACTCTTAACTGTCTTTCAAAATGGCCTAGCAAGCCACTATCAAGGGCAATAAGGGATCATTAAGTGCCACTTTCCCACTGATACAAACATCTCATCAAAGAGTAAAGAACTTCCTCGAGACAAACTACTTCATGCAACCCATTAGCTTTGACTTGTAGTGACTTTTGTGCAGATAAATTTTGCAGTCATTAAGACACGTAACGTCCCAGCAATAGCTGTGAGGTAAATGAGTTTGCACATTCTTCCTGTACCTGCACAAGTTTCATCCAGGTATTCCGGTTTTCTCCCACCGTCCAAAGATGTGCCGTGGTAAATGTGGGCTTAGTTGGGTAGGGCAGGGGTGTGGGTCTAGGTGGGATGCTCTTCGGAGGGTCAGTGCAGACTTGATGGGCCTCAATGGCCTGTCTCTGCACAGTAGGGATTCTATGATTCTATACTGAACAAAGCCATGCCTGGTGTCAGCTCTCCCTTTCATTCCGCTTCCGAGTCTTGTGGCAATAACACTACATTGCAAGCTGACGCTTCTTTGACGATACAGGACAGTCATGCCAACAGTTGTTCTTTTTTGAAGTGCTTGCAGCCTCCAGATGAGTTACAAATTGTTGGGATTAAGAGGTTGCACCGGAGTTAGGAGCAAGGTTTGGCTATATGAGCCTCTCCACCATTCAATAAGATCAGAGCTGATTTCAGCTCTGTTTTCCTGACTGCACCCCATAAACATCGTCTATCAAAATTCTACCTGCCTCAACCTTTAAAAAACTTAAAAGCTTAGCCGACTGCCTTCTGGTGAAGAGAATGTCACATACAAACAACCCAGCCAAAGTAAATGTTTCTCTTCATCTCGATCTCATCCTTAAACTGTCAGATCCACTTATACAAGAAATATCCTCCAAATAAGCACTGTATCAAGTACCCTCAAGATCTGATATGTTTCAAGAAGATGGACACTGAGATCAAGACCAAGACCAATGCTTTGCTCCATTCTATCCTAGAGAATCAATTTCCCATAGGAGTTTTCTGTGTGTTGGAAGTTATTTATTAACTTATAATTATTTCTGTAGCCATGTGATTTCTTTTACAACAGTTTGAGAGAGCTTCTTTGACAGCACTAACAGGCTTTATTCATTTTAAAATGTTCTTTGACTTGGCTAAAACATTATGCTTTAACGTCTGTTAGAGATTTCTAGGCTTACGTGTTTTTAAGCTTCGGGAAACTGACCACAGCTTAGGAGGACAGATTGGTATTAGTTTTACAGCAAACTTTGTTTAACAAGCACTCTCAATAAACCTGCAAAAATTATACACCCGAAATAGCAGAAGTTCACTGTATTATTGCCATATCCAAGTAGTCAGTTGACGGTGCAAGTGAGAAGGTTCTCTGTGGGTAAGTTTTATTTCAGGCAAAATTGCATTATTATTTAAGTGATTTATGCCGTAAATAAAGTATAACAGTGATGCATATGCTCCCTGCATTACGTTTCTATTAGTGTATATTTTTACATTGATTATGTGGACCTCTTGATCAATTGGAATATTTGATCAACCGGCACACATAGGTGTTGGTTAATGTTTGCTGTGCCCTGGACAGTTCTTGGATGGGGACGGTTGTATACAGTAATGCTCCCGACAAGGGCAGAATATAGTCACTGAGTTATAGAGGTCTATAGCACAGAAGGCGGCCCTTTGGCTCATTAAGACTGTATTCTATTCTAATCCCACTTTCCAGTTGTTAGCCCACAGCCTTGTACGTCTCTACCATACTACATCCACCAAAGTTATGTCCACTCACTTAAGGTACGCCACAAGACAATGAATGCACTGGGATCAAATTTTTTATTTGTGGTCACCAGTTTCTGTCCCTTTGTACAACTGCTCCACCAAGCCATGCAGGGTCACATTTAGATTACTTTGGAAAAAGGAGTTAGCAATAGTCCCCAACCAAAAGTGTTGGCATAAAACCCTGAAGAGGTTACTTGAAACTAAGTATATTTAAGGTCAGGTACCTAAAAGCTCCAGGAAGAAGCTACCAGCATTTCTTGTGCTAGAGTTAAAGTCACACTTACCATAAGCCTTTCCAAGCGTCGGAATTTTGTTTTTCTGAAGTGGACGCTGTACAAGGGTACTTTGGAGTTTTGTACAAGGGATTTTTGGTTTATAATTTGTAAATGTGTCTGATTGGGATTAATGGGATTATACTTTCACTATGCCAAATCTTTGAATTTGTGTCATAAGTAAATAGTTTGGTTTATTCTATCTTATCTTCATTCCTTTTGGTTAGTAAACTTCTGTTTCATTGTTAAAACAAAACCTGCAATGGTGTGCATTTGCTTTTGTGAGAGACTGCCTTGTTAAAAGCAAACAGAGTTTGATCTAAGAAGCATTTCAACACACGGAGGTTCAGAACTCTCTTCCACAAAGGGCAGCCGATACTAAATCAGTTGTTACTTTTAAATCTGAAATTGATAAAGTTTTATCAAGCAAAGGTATTAAGGGGTATGGGCTAAAGCCAGGTAAATGAGTTAGGCCACAGATCAGCCATCATCTCACTGAACTGCAGAATAGGCTCGAGAGGCTAAATGGCTACTTCTGTTCCCATGTCAGATCCCAGACTGGAACATGTCCAATAATAACATTGATACAATAACAGTGTGTATACCCTCACAACATAGAACTACAATAGTTCAGGACAAAGCAGCCCACTTGATTGGCAACACATCCACAAATATCGACTCCCTCCACCACCAATGCTCAGTCACAGTAGTGTGTACTATCTATAAGATATACAGCAGAAATTCACCAAAGATCCTTGGACAGCACCACCAAATCCACAATCACTTCTATCTAGAAGAACATGGGCAGCAGATACATGGGAACGCCACCACCTGCAAGTTCCCCTCCAAGCCACTCACCACGCTCACTTGGAAATATATTGCTGTACCTTCACTGTTGCTGGGTCAAAATCCTGGAATTCCCTCCCGAAGGGCATTGTGGGTCTACCTACAGCATGTGGACCTGCAGGGGTTCAAGAAGACAGCTCACCACCACCTTCTCAAGGGTAACTAGGAACAGGCAATAAATGCTGGCCGGCCAGTGACACCTGTGTCACACAAATAAATTAAGAAAATAGTACAAATTCACTGCAGGGAAACAAAAGGCACATTAGAGAGTGACATCAGATGGTCTGAAGTTGGAATCAAAGCCCTATGTTGGGGCCCAGTAAAGGAACTTTTGGATAACAGGTACTTGACATATTTTAGTCCCTGGCTCAGAGAAGAGCTCTCAGCCAAGAGACTGAGTTGAATGTCGACGAAGACACTCCAGTGCAACGAAGAAGTAGTTTTTGCATTGCCAGGAGACATTTTTTGGATGTGACCTTGTCTGCACACTCTGGTGGACATAAAAGATTCTATTTTGAGTTAGAAGAGACGTCTCTGAATGCACTGTGCAATATTTATCCCATAATTAACACCAGCAAAACTGATCATTTGCTGTTTGAAAGAGGTCTATGTAGAACCATAGCACACAGGCAGCCATTCAGTCCACCTTGCCTGCACTGGCTCTTTGAAACAGCTATCGAATAGTTGCAGCCTCTGCTCTTGGCCTGCAGCCCTGCAATTGTGTTTTTCCTCTTTGCATAGTTATTAATTTCCCTTTTGAAAGTTACTGTTGAATACATTTCCACTGCCCTTTCAAGCTGTGCGCTACAGATCACAATAACTGCAAAACAGGTTTTTAAAAAAAAATTCAACGGCTCCTTATACAACGTTACTTCTGCACCCAGTTAAAGAAAGCGCAGTTTTCACTAGAAGTTGTA